CTAGGCTTAGAGGCTCAACCCCATTTTATCTCCTTTTTTTAAAAGATTTTATTTATCTTTAGAGGGTAAGGGAATGATAGAGGGAGAGAAATATCAATGTCTGGTTGCCTCTCATGTGTCCCCTGCTGGGAAGTGGCCTGCAACCCAGGTATGTGCCTTGACTGGGAATTGAACTGTGATCCTTTGGTTCACAGTCCCAAGCTCAATCCACTGAGCTACATAAGCCAAGGCTTGTCTCCATTTTTAAAAATTTACTTGAAGAAAGAGGGGAAGAAAGACAGAAAGGGAAGGAAAGAAACATCCATTTGTGAGGGATGCATCAATCATTGCCTTTCATTCACCCCCAGCTGGGCCCTCAGCCCAGGCATGTGCCCTGACCAGGAATCAAACCCATGATCTTTCCGTTTGTAGGCTGGTGCTCAATTCACTGAGCCACACTAGACAGGACTGTCTCCATTGTTTATAAACAATAAAGTCATAGTGATATCAGGTGTCATTGGATACCTCAAACCACATGGTTTCTATTAAATGGTCAAATGTGGCAGCCCCAGGAATGCTATATTTCTCCCTAAGGAGCCTGTTTCTGGCTTCAACAAGTAGCTTGCTGCTGAACTGCCAACCTCAAAGAGTTTAGAAAAGTGGCTTGGTCAGAGTACTATGCAGACCCTGGATCCGTAGCGAATAGGTCCTAGCTCCCAGCAACCACTGAGCAAACAACTGAGCTGCCTCAGCTAAACAGCTCCTGAATGTTAGCCAGAAGTGGCAGGGTTGGAAAATATTTACCTGAGCTAACTGGATGGAGCTCACTGCACACTCTGTTTGCATAAACCCAACAAGCTTATCTTCCTGGGAAAGGAGGTGAATGCAGATAACTGGCTGAGAGAAAGACAACAGGGAGTAGAGCAGCATGAAGAACATAATACCCTACAAACTACAGAGATGGGCACCCAGAATGTAGGGAGGGTGGGTAGGCGGATAGGTTTATTTCAATTACCCATTAATCCATTTGTTTAGTAAACAGTGATTGAATGTGCACTCTGTGCCAGGCACTGCTGTACTATACTACTAAAATACAGATTCTTTCCTCAAGTATTTCACAGTCTGGGTGGGGAGGCAGACACACACAGCAGAAACTGGTCAAGGTGAAGAAGGTGGAAGGATGGTCCTAGTAGGCTACCTGGAAAACATGACATTTGAGCTGAATTTGCAAAGACAGGAAGATGGAAAGTAGGAGGAAGGGTAGGGATGGTGGCTGGCACCAGGGCTCATTCAAAACAGAATTAAGATATGGCTGTCTATTCCTCTGTTCCTTCCTACCTTCAGACACGTCCCTCATTTCAAAGAGAATTTTCATTGCTTCTTACAAGCACCCAGGTGGTACTTGAAAGTTGTTAGGACCTGGTAAAGAGGGGACCTGGAGGCATTTTGTGAAGTTGGACCCTCCAAATCCTGTTCTCTGAAAGGTTGGCCTGAGCAAGATGGGGCAGCCCACCCTAGAATGCTGGGACTTTGCCAAGTTCCTAATTTCTAGGCAAAGTCCCATATCCCTTGCTTTATGCCAGAAAAATGCCTGTCCCTCCCAGGCCCCTGGGCAAGGACAGACTCTGATGAGTGCCCCACTAGCCAGGAAGCTGCCTTCTGTGCTGTTAGGCTTAGTGTAAGGGGAAGCACCAAATCCTCAGAAAGGAAGTTGGTCCTGATTCAGACCAGAGAAGAAGACAGAACTAGACTCCTTGCCTTTGAGCAGCTAACTGCCTCCCCCTCCAGGCAGAATGTTGTCAACCCTTTCTGGCCTAATGTCTCTTGCCCTAACAACTCTATTGTTCCTCTTATCTCAACCTAGAGTGGGGCACAGAAGTACTCCACCACTGGCCCCTGCAGTAATCAACACTCATCCCTACTGATTGGGTGTTAATCTTTCCAAGCTTCAGTTTACAGTTATACAAGTGGCCCACGAAACCCACTTCCAAGTCATCAGATGAGCCCATCTATAGGGTTGGGCTAAAATTTTTAATGTCCTTGTTATGAATAACATACTCTCTTTGAGAAGATGGCATCAGAGGGGAAAAGCAAATTAATATATATAACTCACTATAAGCAAACTGTATTGAAGATCTTTGGCTCTAAATGACCATAAAAGACATGTTTTTTTCTTTGAAGAGATTCAGTCTAATATTCCTTTAAAAATCAGGCTCTCATGGTAAAGAAAAAAAATTTAGCTTACAAACTTTGACTTAAGTACAATATTTCTAAAACTGGAGCCAGGCTGATGTGAAATAAAGTAGCCAAAATAAATATTTGTGCGATAGCAATAATAACTCATGTTGATTAAGCATTCACTATGTCCCAAATACTTTATATTCAAGATCTCATTTAATTCCCTAAGAACACTACAAGGTTGATTCTATTATTTCTCCCCAGTATACAGAGGCAGAAATGGAGGCTTGGAGAGGGTGAGAGACAAGATTACACAACTCCTATTGGTAGAGCCAAATTCAAATCCAGGTCTGTGGAATGCCAAAGCTGGACTTCTGACCACTACACTGTCATCTGCAAGCCCAAAACAAAGGACACCCTGCAGCAGTCCACACCAATGAAGTCTGTGGAGGAAATAGAAGATACCAGTCCTGAGAGAGAGATGCTAAGAAAGAAAAGTGAAATAGGATGTGAACCAAGGATACTTGAGGTATGGGGGCCAAGGGGCTTTTAGTGGCCACACAGGAGAGATAGAGGGGCAACTTGACACTTTATCTAAACACAAGCAGCAGAGATCTAGGGGGCTATGGGTGGTAGTGGTGAGGGCAGCTGAAATTAGTAGAATAAATTGAATTTGGAGGCAACAGACCAGCAATGAATATAGTGTCTATTATCAAGTAGGCATTGGATAAGGATAAATTGAATAAGTCTCAGTTCTGCCACTTAATTCAAGTCACTTAACCATGTTGAGCCTGAGTTCATTTATGTTTCAAATAAGAATAATAACATACATTTTACACAGTTATTGTGAGAGGAAAAATCTGTTGGCTTAATGAAGTTTCTGAGAGAGGGATACGAAATGAGAAGTGATCTGGTTCATGAAGTGGGCACATAGAAACAGTTCCTGAGCCCTAAGAGTGACCTCCAAAGCCACTTTTGGGCTTGATTTTTCTGAGGTGGAAAAAGTTTATTTTCAGAAGCAGCAGTGATTCTGGGAGAAGTAGAATCTCCTGGTTATTAGAGTTGCCTTGACAGCCCTCAGACTAGAGGGTGAAGGGGGTAGGGGAGCAGGGGGCAAAGAGAAAGTCAGGTTCCACCCTCTGCCCTTCAGGCATGCACACAGGAAAACACTCCCCCTTGCACCTTTCTCACGCACAGGCCCAGGGAGGTGCTTCTCATGTGGCCAGGGGAACCCTCTGGGTGGGAACTCTTCTTTACCCCACCCTTTACCTGGCAATCTTTCCTGAGTGTGTAGATACTATCTCTACCAACCCAGCAGGCAAGCCCCAGCTGTGAAAAATCTGCAGGAGTCAGTATGGGTGAGAGGGCTCTGGAAACGTGGAAAAGTACCTGTACAAATGTCAAATGAGGGGCTTCGAATAACTTAGATCATGTCTCATTTGCAAGAGTGTGCTGCCTCTGAAAAGCAACTTGGTACAGTGCAGTCAGACAGGCCTGTTGTATATCTGGGCTCCACCTTGGGTAAGTTACTTAACCTCTCTGGGCTATATAGTTTCCCCAGCTACATAATGGGAATAATAATGCTTACCTCACCAGGCTGTCATAAGTATTAAGTAATATCAAGTAAGACATAACTTTATGTAAAGTGTCTGCCACATCCCATCATCCTTGGTTTGAATCCTGGCTCTAAGCAAGTCCCTTGACCTTTCCCAGCCTCAGTTTTTTCTATAAAATTATTATTATAAAAGCCCCTGCTTGAATAATGGCCTGCAAAGTTGTCAAAAGAGACTCTGCAGATGTGATTAAGGTTAAAAACATTGGGATGGGGAGACTAGTCTGAATTATTCGGGTGAGCTCAATCTAATCGCGTGAGTCATTAAAAATGAAGTCTTTCTTTTCTGGATGTCATTAGAAAGAGGTGGCAACAGAAGGGTCATTAAGGCAGGCAAAGAAATGGACTCTCCTGAGCCTCCAGAATAAGGCAGCCCGGCTGACAATGATTTTACCCCAGAAGACCCAAGTCCGACTTCTGACCTCCAGAAGTATAAGACAATAAATTTATATTGTTAAATAACCAAAAATATAAACAAACAAACTACTGCTCAGGGTTACAGTAAAGTGCAAATGGTATATTGCTTAAGGACTCAGTCCACCCAGAGCCTGTTAAAGTAAGGGCATTAATTCTTCTGGGATTGTCTGGGGCCAAATCCAGCTTCGATTTCAAGACCCCTGCTCCAGATCCTGCATGAGAGGGGGAAGAGTTGGTCCTGCTTTTAGTCTCACCAAAGGCAACTTCTGAAATATCCAAAGAAAACCCACTTTTGATTTTTGAAGCATCAAGGACAGGATTTAGACACTTTCCTTTCCCATTTGCATTCGCACTGCTCTCCATCTCACACCTGACTGAGCAGAGAGAAACATTTCATTTGCACTCCTTGTCTAGATGTATCCAGGGCCTTGTGCAAATGCTGAAGTCTGAATGAACTAAGCTTCAGATTCAATGTCCCAGAGGGGTTTTGTGGTGCTATCTGGGGGTTGTCTGGTAAACTAGGATTTACTAGGGACAGGTCTCTGGAGAACCTACAGCTCTTTCTGTTCCTACCTGCTCCTTACTGTCCTGTTCTCAACAAGGCTCAGTCCACATTGTACTGGGGCTGTTGCCCTGTCCACAAACAAGAAACAGTTGACATATGAACCTCAGGTCAAAGAGCCAAGAATGGCTGGCAAAGAAAGACAAATTCCCAGCTCTCCAGAAGCAAAGATACTTATCAAATGCTTCCCACTCAAGCTTGTAGGGGTGGGGAGGCTTAGATTGGCACATCATGGATCTCCGAAAAAATTACCTTTCTAGTAGCATCTGCAGCCCATTTAAACTGGTGCAAGCACAGCTCAGCAGCCACATAGGGAGAGAAGAGGAAATCAAAATTATGGGTTCTCATTCATCAGAAAATAATAGGAGCTAATATTTATTGGTCGATTACTGTATATCAGAGACTATTCTAAATTATTTATCTTAACTATAATGAATCCTTACAACATGCCTAGGAAGTAGACACAGCATAGGCAGAATTTAAAAATACAATTATTATTATATTATATTAACTACAGTGGGGATATACTTTTGAGAAGGGGAGGGTATTTAATCACCAATCATCTCATGCCTGAAAATTCTGTTATGTCTATCTAGTTACTCACCAAGTGTATTTCCTGTGGAGCTAGCACTGGTTTACATACTCCTTGTTATGACATTTTGAGGAACTTTTCAGACCTGTATCCCTGTTTGGATAGCAATTAAATTCTCTGAGGGCCGAGGCTATGTGTCTTATTTCTGGGGGCCCCTTCCCAGTGCTGGGAGAACTCCATTTTCCACTGCTTTGTATTTCTATGTGGAACATCTTGTTCTCTGCCTCTTGGTAGAGGTGACCTATCTCCCTGGTGGGTCTAGGTCACCTGTGCTTACTGAGGGCGATAGCAAGCCAGGAAATTATTTATGAAATTTGTGGGGTGGTTATTCTGGCTGTCTTAATAATAAGGAGGCTCTATTTGCATTTACTCAGCAGAGGGCAGGCATTCTGGACATCCTGTAATTTAGAAGACCGTATAAAATGAAAAACACTTGCTCATATCCCACACAACTTTCATATGACTTTCCAGTGTATCACCAGACATTTGTGCCACTAAATAGCCTGCCTATAATTATATGAGCCTAGAACCGAATTCCATGTTTATGCAAGCACAAAGTACTTTTGTACAACTTTAACATGCATTGAGTTTTTTTCAAGAATGGCATTTTCTGTATAAATTGGGGAAATATTACATTTTATTTTGTTAGAGGTTTACCAAGAGTTGTTTAACATTTTGGAAAATTATGGCTTTTGAATTGCCAATATAGCATACTAGTCAGTCTGTATTTGTGTCTGTCTCATTTATATAGGTGTAAGCATCCTACTATCTTGTTAAAACTTTGAGGGTGCCTACAGACTTACTTGCTGAAATACATGTTATTTCATTTAAAATTATTTTTCATTCTCTTTTTATGCAAATTAGAGTATCTCACTGATTTTTATTTGTTTTTCTCTAAATTTTATTCTAGGATACTAAAGGTGTTTTACAGAACCATTGTTACAAGGGACATTGGATCTGATAAGGCTAAAAAACGTGTTTTTGTTGTTGTTGTTCAATTATAGTTGTCCCACTTTTCCCCCCATTGCTCTCCCTTGTCCCATGGATTTAGAAGGAAGTGGGTATGTATGCCTTGACTCCTTCTGGGGCCTGTCTGTTGGCTAAAAGGGTACTTTAAGGTCTACTTTCCACCAGCTCTATCTGTACCTGGTGGATTAATTTAATTCTAGAGTGAGGTCTTTGAAAGCCCATTATGAATTTACATCAAAACCATATTCCCACTGCAGCTCTATCTGTGAGGCTCCTGTACCTATTTTTCAACTGTTTATGGTACTGGGGAGGGGAAATAAAGGATGAATAATATGTATCCACATTCAAAAACTGAACTCTACTGCTCAGGGTTGAGCAAAATGTGGTTTTCTAACTCCTTATCCTTCTCTCTCACTTAGCCTGCCTGTCCCCCCAATAATCCTGCCTCTACCTGTAAGTATGGGTCCAGAAACTGGATCCTGCAGCAAAGGTAAACAAGCCTCAGAAGACCCAGAGTCTCATGTCCTTAATTCTCATCCTCCAATGTCTTCCACAGGGATGTCTCAGGACTTCTCTCTGGGTTATTAAACCCACCATCTGGCTCTACTCATCTGCCTTGCTTTCTTAGACCCACGGAATGAGCCCCATGGGCATTATCATAGCACAGAGGTCCTCCCTGTCCTCTGCAATTTTCTGTATTTTCTTCCCACTGGATGGGTTTCCTGTGAGCAGGGACTGTGTTCTACTCCCCTCCGACTCTTCACTAAGCAGCTAAGTACAGATTTGTGGAAATAATGGCAAATGCAGGTAGTTAATAACTTCCCTTGCCCTCTCCTACTTAGCTGCTCTAAGGCTTTTAGGGGGAGAGTGGCTGGAGGAGGGAGCTTACTATGCTAACCTGCCAGCTTGAAGGTCTGACCCACCTCCCTAGTGTCTCTCTGGAAAAGCCTCGCCATTATTTTGAATCCTTAGAGAACTTTCCTTAGTAACAATTTTGTTGATTTTAGAGATGCCCCATTAAGCCAATTAAACACTATAAATCAATACACACCAGGAGCATCCAGAGAACCACAATAGTTCACTTTTTTTTAATGTAGAAAAATCTCATCTGATTTACAGCTAAATGCTGTGTAGGAGCTCACTGGTGCTATTACTCTGGACTAGCTGGCATGGGGTCCACAGAGAGGCACAGGAGGTAAGATACTGGTATATTGGTGCAGGTGAACTGAGAATGCTACCAACCTCAGGACTGAGAGAGAAACCATAGGACATTGGTACTCAACTTTGGGACAGGAACCTCATGAATAAGGATGCCTGCCAACTTGCTTCAGACTCTCTTCTGGCCTCAGATACTTTGGGGCAGTCTTCTAGCAAGATGGCATCCAAAACATAGCTGGAAACATTGTTCTGATCATGGCCCTGGATGATGAGGAGTTCAAAGCAGTGTGAGGCTCCCTAGGTGTTTGCCTGTCATTGTGGACTCTCCAAGATCCTTTAAATCAATTCTAATGTTCAGTGTCCTTCTAAAGTTAGCTTTTGGCTGGGAAATGAAACTGGAAAAACTCTCTGACAAGGAGAGCTGGCCCCTAGGCTCCTGAATTCACTAAAAGGGCACTTAGCCCTACCTTCCTTGCAGGGGAACCCTTCTCGTCTTCTAAGCTAAACCTTTCAGTGAGCCTGCTCTCTATCCATTTCTCTCTTTGCTGCATCTCCTATCTCTCTTTCCAGGTACACACCATCAAAGTCTCCCTTATCTTCCAAAAGCTTTTCTTCACACTGTCTCATTTCAGGTCAATACCTTTACCCCTTTGTCACCCCAGTCCTTGAAAGGGAAGTCATTGTCTCCATCATTTCCTTAACCTCTATTTACCCTTCAACTGCAGCAACCTGGCATCTGCTCTCACCACAGACACCAGGATAAGGCAATCACTATTTCCTTCAATGTTTAACCATAGTTCATTTTCAGGCTTTGGTGTCTACAGAATCTTTGCATGCTCTGACACTGTTGGCTATCCCCACCTTCATGAAAATCTCCCCTTTGTGAGTATGGTTTCACTTCCATCCCTCTCACAATTCCATCTTAGTCTCATCTATAGGCACCAAGTCCTCATCCTGTGCCTTATGTGTACCTTCTCCTCCAGAACTGCTTTTGGTCCTCATCCCATTCTGCACACCCTCCCTAGGTGACCTTACTTCCTCCCATCTCTTCAATTAACACAGTTCAATGGTGACTCTCGACTCTGCATTCTGACTTGTCTCCTGGACTCTAGTTCCAAATTTCTTACCACGTATTGTGCACTTATAGCCTATTATCTGCCAATCCTCCTCCCTCAGTCATCTGGACAAATTTGTCCTACTTCCTGGTCTGTTCATTGCTGGTTGCAGTACCACCAATGCTCAGCCATCTCAAGCTAGGAATCTAAGAATCACGCTGGAACTTTCTCTCTCCTCTGCTGCCCATGTCTAACCTATTGCCAAAATCCTCTTGATCTTATACCAGATATATCTGTCAAATATGGGTCTCTCCATGCCTACTGCCACAGTAATAATAACTGCAAATACTTATATAGTATACAAGGTGGTGCAAAAGTAGGTTGACAGTTGTATAGTTATATGTGGAAAATAATACAATAATTAATGTATAATAAGATAAGAATAAACTCTGTTTTTCCTGCTCACAACTATAAACCTACCTTTGCTCACTGTGTATATGTTCTAGACACTTCTCTAAGAGGTACACATATACATATGCTTACACTCACTCACTCATTTGACCCTTGCAATAACCCTGTGAGATAGGTATCATTATCCTTTCCATTTTATAGATGAAGAGAACAAGGGACAAAAAGTTGAAGAACTTCCCCAAAAAGTTTTGCACTTCCCTGACACAGTCAGGTAGTGCAAAACATAGAATTCAAACCCAGGCATCCTGGCTCTATGTTGGCATGCTTAACATCTTTGCTATAATCTCTTTCCTTAGCATTGCCTACTTCTTCATACTACAACAGCATTCCATCAGGTCTCTCTTGCATTGGTCTTTCATTCATCCTTCCCTCTCTCTTTACTCACACCCCCTTCTAATGAGCTCCCATTAAATGAAAATCGTCATGCTTGAAAATACCCACTACTTGAAAATGCTCCCTTCTGCCCACAGGATAAAATTCTTTGCTGGGCATTTAAAGTTCTTCATAATCTTTTTTTTCTTTTTCTACATTAAAATTTAATAAGGAGGGTAGCAGTAAACACACGAAATCGAGGGGTCAGGCTGGGCTGCCAATGTCATTAGCAGTGGCCACGGCCCCGCAAGTGTGAGCATCCCGGGGAAATGGGCCGTCAGCTCGGCGGGCAGGACATCCCGGTCGCAAAGCTCCGCACGGAGACACCATTCAGGTGGTGGAATCTCACTCAGGTGTGGGACATCTAAGGGGGCTTTATATGCGGTACCAACTGCGGTGAACATCTGAGGAGGGTCATCACCAGCGGCATCTCCACACGCAGGGCACCCATGGGTCCGCTCTCCCGGAGTAAGTCCCTCACACGCTGGGCGCAGTGGGGCTGGTCCACATCAGGGCACCAGAGTCCCTTCCCTCCCCGCCCGGGCTCCTCCTGAGGACTTCAAACTATGATCGCGCCCACTGCATGACTAACGAACAATAATCAAGAGAACTGTCCCAGGAAAAGAGAAACAGTCGCGAAACAGAATGTCTAGAGCCAACGTCCACGGTCAAAGTCTAACTCCCGCTCGTGCCATGGCCCCCGCGGACCGCCGTAGATCCCTGGGGGAGTTCTTCATAATCTTGTCCAACCCACAGCTCCAGCCTCATCTTTCACCATCTCATCGCATGCTGATCTTCTCAGTTTCCCTGAAGCCATGCCCTTTTACAATAGTGAGCCTTCACACACATTGTCTCCTATAACCTGACATATATATTCTTTCTGTCCCTCTCTGTCAGTCATATCCCCTACTTTTCTGTTGTAATCTACTGCAGATGTCTTCTCTTTAAGGGTATTGTCAGACAGTATCCCAGAGCTCAGGAATGTTGTATCTGTCACAGTATTCACTGCACAGTATTACAATTTATCTTCTTACAGACGGCACCCCCTTTCTGGAGCTTATGAGTAACGAGATAGTCACAGAATGAAAGGTTGGCCTCAGATCCAGCCTGCTGGGTCTTTCTGCCTCTGTCCCTAAATTTCAAACAATTCTTTTCACTGGATTACATGAGAGCATAAAGGCTAAAAAAATTCCATACTACATATTTCCCCTCACTTTCTATATCTCAGGGTGAAGAAATGAGCACTCTCTTCCTCATTTTTCTTTAATTAAAGAAAATAAAAGGAAAGTGGAAGTCAAACTAACCAGTAGTATATGGCATGACAACAATGATGGGACCATGATACACAGACTGCTGGGGCCTTAGACATTACCTCATATAAACTTATTCATTTTATTCTTGAGCAAACTGAGGCACAGAAAAATAAAAGCAGCAACTGGCAAGGGGCAGAAAGAGCATTGGCACCCAGACTTCTAGCTTCTGATCTGGCTTTATTCTACTGCCTCTCAACTTTTTAAATCTTTCCTGGAGACTGGTAGTGGCCCTGCTTCTACAACCCCCAGTTATCCCCACACAGGCTCAGACTGCTTTCTTGGGACCAGGAAATTAACAGGCTCAACTTGAAACTGCCTGATAAGCCAACATTCCTTGCTTATGCAATTTCAGGACTGCATTATACCCAGTACCTGGCTGCAACTCCCAATCATACCAACTAGCTTGGGGCCTTACAGCTGGAGCTTCATCAAGGGCAGTGGCTCATCTTGCTCTCCTGTGTCTGCTAACACCTTCTCTGTATTACACACAAAGGTTGTTCCTACACAACCACTCTTTTTCTTCTTCTCACTCCCTCTACCTCCCATTTCATCCCAGTTAGTCACAATGAGGTCACACTCACACTCTGGCTCCCAGGCCTCTCCCTAAAGATGGTGTGTATGTACAGGGAGTGGGGAGTTGAGAGACTGTACAGGAAAATTCATTAAGGCATCATGGGAAAAATGGGCTTTGGAGTGAAAGCAATGTGGGTTCAATTCTTGACTCTGCCAAATGGCCAATTGTGTGACCTTCAGCAAATTACTTAATTTCTCAAATCTTTTAGCAAAGAAAGGTGAGCTGTCTGGGAAGCAGTTTCCTCACTTATATAATTAGGGTAGTAACACTTGGCTTATGGTGAGAATTAATGAGATAAAGTACCAAAAGCATCCCACACAGAGCCTGGTGGTCCACAAAATGTTGTTTTTGTCAGTGCAGTGGCCTGATAAATCCTGGGTGCCTACCTATAGGTCTGCAGGTGAGCTAGTAAAGAAGAGAGCATGTGGGTGTCAGTATCTGACAGCATCTAAGGTATGAAGTGAGAAAGAGCAAGGAGGAACCTTAGGGAGGGTGTGGATATGTGTGAACAGAGAAGAGCTCCAGTATCAGTGTGTAAATAAGTGTGGCCTGGCTGAGCCTTTCTTTCCCCCAAACTCCCCCTCTCTTTAAAGAAAAGCTATGTCTGTTCTTGTCAGTAACAGGAAATCAAAAAACCCTTCCCAGGGAAGGGAAGGGTTGGCCCACTCCAGAAGGCTCATTCAAATAAAGTAGATTTAAGAGAGGCCAGATCCTGGCAGAAGCCAGAAAACTTTCTCCCAGTTGGTGGGGACCAACCCCCCCCCCCACAAAATTTAATGAACACAAAAGATGCTCAAAGGGTCAGTGATCTCCCTGTTGGCTGCCCTCAGCCTTGTCCTAAGTGCAAGGATTTCTTAAGCTTCGGAAAGATTACACAGGCAGCCAAACCCACTGGGCCTGTGAAGTGGGCACCTCTGAGCTGGGCTAGTAGGGCCATATTTGGCATGGAATGGGCTCCTCCCTGTACAGCTTGTTCAATGGCCTGGGACTTGGGTCCTTACTTAGCCCTCAGGACAGAAAGCACAGGCACAGGACCCATCCCAATGTGTTTAGGACACAGAATCCTTGGGAATCCACCTCCATCTTCCTGCCCTTGAAGCAAATCTGGCCCAACTACCCTTAGATAAGGATCTTTCTCATATTTAAAGACCATGAGTGAGAAGCTGATTCTAACAGTCTCCCTCCCTTGGTAGCTGTTCCAGTGTCTAACAAACCAGCTGGCTACAAGTACCTCCTCATAGCCAACCTACATGACTCCTTAACTGAAGCTTATCTCTGTTTTAGTGTTGAGTGAAGAGGGAGATTGTTGGCCTCCACTTGTTAGCAAACCCCCAATGAACAAAATTGCATAATTTGCCTGCATTAGAATTTTGGCTTAGGACTCAAGTTTATTCCCCTCTCTTATTGTGAAGGATATATCCAGAGTTAACAAACCTTTAGAAAATTTTAATAGTGACATCAAATCACTCTACAGATAAAGGAGAAAACCATGTCTGAGTTTCATCTCCAGCTTCCCCTTCCCCCCACACAGACTTCCATCTAAACCTGGCCTCAGAATTTCAGAGCGGGAAGGAACCCTAATGGTTAGCCAATTCACCACCACTCTGGGATTATCTTCCCTTCCCCATGGCTATTTCCCTCTCCAGTCTATTTTGCTCTGCTTGGCAAACTCGTAGTCATCTTTCAGAGCTAGACACAAATATTACCTCTTCCATGAAGCCTTCCCTGAGATCCCATGAATAATGAACTGTTCTCATTTCTGTTTGATGCCATGCTTTTAACATACCTCTAGGTAGCATGAATAAAGCTTCACTATAAGTATTCACTGAAGATGTAATGGGGTACAGAGTGGGGTGGGGGGCCTCCCAAAATATTCCCCACAGCCCATGGTTGGGGCATAGGGAAGGGGATGATACAGTGGTTAAGATTTTTTCATAATAATAGCTAGTTGATAGTTTGTGCTGGCATCCTGGGTAAAAAGTCTACGTGACTTTCAGACCTTATAGTGACTCATGCCATAGCTGGGGAAACTTATACAGCACCTGAATGAGAGGCCGGGAGGCAGCAGTTCTCTCTTGTCACTGGGTACTCTTTCCCTGACTAAATATGGCAGCCAAAAGAAGGTGAAAGATACAGGGGAACTGGCAAAATTAGCTCATTTTAGGAGGGGCCAAATATGAGGTCACATAGGAAGTTCTGGGTCAGCATTTAAAATCAGGGCAAGATGAAAGAGAATGAGCTGGACTGTCATGAGGGCTGAGAGAGTAGGTAGCAACCATGAGGAAGAAGCCATGATGTAGGGGGATTTTGTCATGAGGTCTGAGAGAGGAAGCAATAAGCAGCTATGTGATTTGTAGGCAGGATTCCGCCATGAGGGCTGGTGTGTAAGGTAGAAGCCATGCTGGCCAGGAATCAGGAAAGGGTATAAGAAGAGGCATGATGGAGCTGTGTGGGGACCTGGCAAAGCTGATGGAGCTGTGTGGGATCCTGTCAAACTAAGGATAGATTAGTGGGAGATGCCTGGAATGCTGAACTGTGGCTGGCAATGCTGAGACTATAGAATTTTGCTTCTCTAAAGGATGTACAGAGAAGCCACTTTCTTGGGATGTGTGCCTTCCTAGAATTCACTTTGGTCCAGTGTAATATGGCACATGTTTTTCTGGACCACTACATGAAGGCTGAGGACAACACACCTCAGATCCAGAAGGAAAGACCTGCTGCAAGAGGATGATGTCTCTGAAACCCAGAAATTCAGATTCTGTATGGGAAGGAGAACTGTGGGTACAGCCAGCTTAAGAAGAAATAAAGATATGGGGGACTTTGGGGCATGTTTTTGACTTATAGACTGATGGGGAGCAAGGGAAGTATTGGGCCTCATAGGAGAACAGAGCTCCAAGCAGGAGTGCTCCCAGCACAGCCAAGGTTGGAATTCTGTAAGTAAAAACCCATTTCCTCCAACACTAATTGTTGGGTCATACATCAATGCGACATGTGGATGGGCCCCAGTTTGCTCAGCTCCAAAGACTCTCCCACCCTTCATGTCTCCTTCCTTCCCTTTCCTTTTTATTTTCCCTTTATCTCTATTCTCCCATACTTCATACTAGACTGTACAGGAGTACATAGTACATTTTCCCCAAATTCCACCCCAAATTTATGAAATAAATTCTTAAGCTGAGAAAATTCAGACCAAATATATTAAGTGATTTGACCAAGTTATATAGCTGGTTAGTGGCAGAAACAGGACCAAAACTCAGGCTTCTGATTTTGTAACTATTTCACCTCTCTGATTCTAAGGTTCTCCATTATTGCTTTATGCTTGTCTCCACCTTACACTTGCTCTTTTCAACAAACATTCACACATTCTGCTTCTGATATAATACCCTGTCCCATCCCTCTTCTCCAACCATCCCATCAGTCTCTGACCCTAAGAGAAAATTCCTCTCTTTCCTCTTTCTTCTTCTTTCTACGCATCCACATTAATCCATCCTGCCATCCATCCAGCACTGCTTTACCCTACCCAAAGCCCTTCCTGATTAACTCCAACCCACCCAACTCAATTTTCTTCAAAGGAACAAAGTTTGTGCCTACATTGTCCCATTGAGCTGAGTCACTCTCTCCTTTCTGAGCTCTTTTTGTTCCATTTCCTCTGTTTTGTCCACTATCTTCTTCCTGTAAATCAGGAGTTCTATGAAGAATCCAGGTATTCCATATTTTGTACCTCCATAAATTCCCCTACACACAGTCAGACCATATAAATATACTTGTTCAAGATACAACTCAGGTTGAGCTTTGACAGAAAAATAGCTGTTGTCTTAGATTCTGACCACATCTGGCAAGCAGTCAATTCTAAATCAGTGCTACATTTCTCAGTACTCTTTTGAGGGCAAAGTGAAAACCAAACCCAGACATTGGATTGTTGTGTTGAAAAGGTGTTAGAGGCAAAAGCGCTTTAAAGGCCCCTTCCAATCCTCAAACATACAAGTCTCTGAATTAACTCCCTCAAACTTTACTTCATCTTCTTTGTTTCTCCCACACCTGACATAGTACAAATGACCCCCACAATTTATAGAATAAAGATTTTGTTCTGAAAGTCCTTACCTGCCTGTTGAAATCTAGGCTGTTTTGATCATTCCCTGGAAGAGATAAAAAAATATTAGTTGCTAGCAGGATTAGAAGACTGAAGTTTAGAGGAAAAATCGGATGTCGAGAGAAGTTTGTCTTTATTTTGAAAAAGAATACTTGCTTTCCCCATGACTGGGACCCTTCTGCTTATCCTGTTTCCTAAAAAGGTTTTGGAAAATATTCTCCAGAAAGATGTAGAACCAGGGAAAGCACAGACTGGCCTAATGTCACAAAGAGTCAACTGGAATTAGAACTTGCCATACCAGAGTGTGGGTTCTGTGGCACTCTCAGACAGTAGCTATTACAGTTGCTTTCATGTGTAAGCAAGGAATGACCAGCCATGTATCTTAAAGGAATTGCCATAAGGCAAGAAGTCCTCCCACACCCTACGCCTCCAGGGATAATGACATCTAAGTCATGCCAGGTAGACAGGTGTCAGTCCTGTTTCTTCCACCTCCTAACTTTCATTTCTTGTTTCTTCATCTTTTTTCCTTTTACCATAAAAGTTTGGCTGAAAGAGTAAATGTATGGTTAATAAAGAAAACTGTGGTACAGAAAAAGTACATAGTAGCATAAAAATCACTTTGCTGAAAGGCAACTGTAATTAATATTTTTGTATATTTTATACTTGTTTTATGATTTTCCCCCTCAGTGATAAATACTATTGTACATAAATTATTACCATGGTTTTTCTAGTGAGCATCACAAATATTTCTCCTATACTATTAAGGAGCATTAAAACTATTTTCCTATGCTAGCAAACATCATTTTTAATGGCTACCTAATATTCCATTTTGTGTACATGCATACCATGATTTGCTTGAACATATAACTATTGTTTGGGAAATTATTTCCATTCATTGCTGCAATAAAGTTTTCTATTTATATAGATTTCTAGGGCAACAATGGTCAAACAACATTTCTTTCAGCCCCATGGATTGTTGGCTTTATAAAAACCAAGGGAAATGACTATTTATTTCCAGATAAGAAAAAGCTAAAGGATTTCACCACTACCAAATATTAATGGATTTTTTTAAGAAGAAAAACATACCAAAAATTATGGCATAGGTAAACATGGCTCACCCCCTCACACAACCACATCAAAATTACAAATAAAATATAGAATGACCAACACTCAGAACCAACAGAAATCAAGTTGAATGAAAATCTAACAACTACAGAATTAAAGAGCTACACCCACCCAGACTGGTAGGAGGGGCAGAAACACAGAAAGGGCTTATGCATTCATGTGTGGTACATGAAAATTTGGGAGGGGTATTCCAGGAGAAAGAAGATTCAGTTCCACAGAAGGACCCCCAGCCCACAATTTCAGCACCAGGAAGATAAGTCCCTACAACTTCTGCCTGCAAAAACCAGCGGGGATTGAGTTAGTGGAAGAAACTTCTGGAGTCCCAAGCTCCAGAAGTTTCCCCCTAGAAAACCCACATACAGACTTACACATACTCACTCTGAATTCTAGCACATGGGTAGCAGCTTGAAAGGCACCAGTGGCATACAGGAAGGAACTTAAATGTCTGACATAAAGGCAGGAATTAGGGGAGAGCTTTCTCCCAGGCAGAAAGGTGAGCAGACAAGGCCACTGTCCCTTTTCTAGCCCTCCCCACAAAGAGCCACAGAGCCAGTAGGTGGGTGCCATATCTGAGACTCCATCAACCTGGCTAACACTGTTTGTCCTGCCCTGGAGATCCCCTGAGACTCCATCCTACCCAACTTATAGGCTCACCCAAACTGTTAATTAGGACTCTTCCATATGAATGGCTGGACTTGGTTCATGCTTCACAACTTCCACATTCCTTTCATAAAAGCAACAGCAAGCTTCAGTAAGCCCCTAGCCCCCATGCATTTTGTTAAGGGGTCCCAGGCACCATCATCAGTCAGCCTAGATTCATGGTAGTCTCCAAGCCCAGCACCAGTAGCAGCCATCTGCAGATTACTTTATAGCTCAAACATGGTGGCCCTGGGGAGAACACAGGTTGGTGCTTACTTTGGCCTGCACCACCCAGGCAACCCCACAGTTAGAGCACCCAGTGGACAGAACAGACCATGTTGGAACACCACCACCTTTCCCCTGCACAGCTACTTCCATGGAGGGTGGAGGTAGGCAGTCAGTGGTCACAGCCAGTCCTTGCAGCTGACTGACCTGGACAAATCTCTCCCACTGACCTGGCAACAGCAATTAAGGCTCAATTACAACAGGAGAATGTACATAGCACATATGAAGGGCACACTTTGAGTACCCAGCTTGGATGATAGAAGAGGCTGTGCCACAAGACCCTATAGGACACCTACTATATTAAGCCACACTACCAAGAGAGGGAGTCATAGCAGCTCTACCTAATACATAGAAACAAACATAGAGTGTCTGTCAAAATGAGGAGACAAAGAAACATGGCTCAAATGAAAGAATAGATCAAAACACCAAAAAAAAAGAACTAAACATAATGGAGATAAGCAATCTATCAGATGCAGAATTCAAAACACTGGTTATAAAGATGCCCAAGGAACTTAGTGAGGACCTCAGCAGAATAGAAAAAGATCAGTCAGAAATGAAGGATACACTAATTGAAAATAAGAACAATTTATAGGAAAACAACAGTAAAGTGGATGAAGCCAAGAATAAAATCAATGATTTGAAACATAAGGAAGCAAAAAACAATTGATCAGAACAAGAAGAAAAGAGAATCTAAAAAAATGAGGATAGTGTAAGCACCCTCTGGGACAACTTCAAGCACTTCAACATTCACATCAAAGAGGTGCCAGAGGAGGAAAGAAGGAGCAAGAAATTGGAAATTGGAAGTCTATTTGAAAAAATAATGAAAGAAGACATCCCTAATTTGGTGAAGGAAATAAACATGCAAGTCTAGGAAGAACAAAAAGTTGCAAACAAGATGAAAGCAAAGAGGCCCGCTCCAAGGCACATCATAATTAAAACTCCAACAGTTAAAGATAAAGAGAGAATCTTAAAGCAGCAAGAGAAAAGCAGTTAGTTATTTACAGGGGTACTCCTGTAAGACTGTCATCTGATTTCTCAAAAGAATCTTTGCAAGCTAGAAGGGATTGGCAAGAAATATTCAATCATGAAAACAGGGATGTATAGCCAAAATTGCTCTGCCCAGCAAAGCTACTATTTAGAATTGAAGGGCAGATAAAGTGCTTCCCAGACAAGAAAAATGCTAAAGGAGTTCATCATCACAAATCATTGTTATATAAAATGTTAAATGGACTTATTTAAGAAAAAGAAGAAAGTTAAAACTATGAACAATAAAATGGCAATGAAATGGATATGTATCTATCAACAATTGAATCTAAAAAACAAACTAAGGAAACAAGAAGAACAGAGACAGAATCATGGATATGGAGAGGGCTTTGATGGTTACCATATGGGGGGATGTGTGAGAGAATGGGTGAAGAGATGAAGGGATTAAGAAGGACAAATGGGTAATTACAAAATAGCCATGGGGATGTAAAGTACAGGAAATAGAGTATCCAAAGAACTTATGTGCATGACCCATGGACATGAAGAATAGTGTAGGGATTGCCTGAGGGAGTGTGGGTGCAGGATGGAAGGGGGAAGAAGGGAAAAAAATGGGGAAACTGTAACAGCATAATCAATAAAATATAATTAAAAAGAAAGAAAAATAAAAATATGAATAAAAATGTCAATAAATACATACCTATCAATAATTACTTTAAATATAAGTAAAATAAGGCCTCCAATAAAAAAGATATAGGGTGGTTAAATAAATCATAGAACAAGGTCCATACATATAACACCTACAAGAAACCCACTTCAGATCAAATGACAACACAGACTGAAAGTAAAAGGATAAAAAAAGATTTTTTTGAAAATGGGAAAAACAGGGCAGCAATGCTTATATCAGATAAAATAGACTTTAAAACAAAGGCACACAAAAACACATTTTTATAATGATAAAGGTATCAACCCAACAAGAGGATATAACCCTTGTAAACATTTATGCACCCATTATAGGAGCACCTGAATATATAAAATAAATATTAATGGACATAAAGAGACAGGTCCACAGTAATACGGTAATGGCAGAGGACTTTAATACCCCATTGATGTCCATGGATAAGTCACCCAGGCAGAAAATAAAAAATAAAACAATGGCTTTAAATGGCAAAATAGACCAGATGGATTTAATAATGTTATTTGAACATTTCATGCCAAAGTAGCAGAATATATATTCTTTTCAAGTGCACATGAAACAATTTTCCAGAATGGAGCACATGTTAAGTCACAAAACATGTCTCGACAACTTTAAGAAGGTTGAAATAAGATCAAACATCTTTTATGATCACAGTGATATGCAACTAGAAGTCAATAACAAAAAGAAAACTGAAAAACACACAAACACATGGAAACCAAATAACATGCTACTAAACAATGAATGTGTTAACAATGAGATCAAGGAAAAACCTGAAAGAGACCTTGAGACAAATGAAAATGAAAAACACAACAACCTCAAATTTATGGACTCAGCCAAAGCAGTTCTAAGAGGAAACTCATAGCAATACAGGCCAACTAACCTCAAGAAACAAGCAAAAAAAATTCAAATAAACAGTATAACCTCATACCTAAAAGAAGCAGAAAAATAACAACAAGCAAAGAAAAAGTGAGTAGAAGAAAGGAAAGAATAAAGATCAGAGCAAAAATAATGAAACCCTGGCTGGTGTAGCTCAATGAATCAGTGGCTTGAGTGCAGGCCTGTAAACCAAAGGATGGCGGTTTGATTCCCAGTCAGGGCACATGCCTAGGTTGCAGGCCAAGTCCCAGGAGGGGACCCACAACAGGCAACCATACATTGATATTTCTCTCCCTCTCTCCTTCCCTTCCCCTCTAAAGATAAGTAAATAAAAATCTTTAAAAAATAATGAAAACAGAATCTAGAAAATACAATACAAAAGATCAATGAAACCAAGAGCTGGATTTTTGAAAAGATAAAAAGATTAATAAACACTTAACCAG